AAGGAATATGGGGAGATGCAGGAGCTGGGTCGGAGCAGAACCATCCACCAGCCTGGTGGAAAGGCATTTGCAGCCTACAGAAGTTTGGGATTTCCAGATTTCTTAGAGCTCAGATTTCAAGAGCTTAGAAAATGGAGGTGAGTAGGATCCTGTCCCCATTCCCCAGGATTACTGGGGAAGAAGTGAGCTTTAGATGTCCATCCCCTTGTCTCCTGCTCTGATTCTTGCCTTGGGTTTTCAGCTCCTCCAGCAGCAGATCCTTCCTCCCATCTGCTCCCGAGCCTTACTCCTCATGTGGATGTGGTTACACTGAATTTTTACCTTCTCTTTATTGATTTGAAAGCAAAAGTTGGTGATCCTGGGGCCAAGTGAGCTGCTTGAGGATGCAGGAGTTGTCTCAAAGCCTTTCTTACTCCAGTGGAGGGTAGGCTGAGCTGGATGAGCAGATCCAAAACCTGTGGCCTCTTCTCCCTCTCATTCCCTCTTCTTGCATCTCTCCAGGGAGAAATGGAGACCTTGCAGGGCACAGGACATCCCAAAGGGCTGTGTCTGTCCATCTGGGGCCTTCCCAGCTGCTTCCTCACTGTAGTTATTCAGAGTTTTCAAAGTCATCCTGCTGCGTGTTCCAGCTTTGGGCTCCTCTCCTTGTTCGGGAGCCTTTTGAGATGACAGGCTGAACAAAATCCAGTTGGCTGCTTCTGGGCTTTGGGGGGAAAGTAGACATAAATAATTCTGTGACTGATTTATTTTTGCTGAAAGGTCCTGGAAGGGATGGGAGGTGGGAAGGCTGCTGTGGAAAAGGGCTCTGAACCTTGTGACTTGGCTCTCGGTGGGCTCAGAGGGGATCTGTTCCTCCTCGTGAGCCGGAACGCCCTCGATGAAAATGCCAAGGATTTAAATCTTCAGAACTTGGAAAGGATTAGACAAATTTTCCTCAAACCTTCTTTTCTCTGTGTGCCATGCCCGGAACTTCAGACAGCACCACTTTAGTCACACAGTTCAACCTTCCTGACTCCAGCATCTTCGCTGCAAGGCTTGGATTAACCATCTCTCCCTGCCTTGCTCCCTCTCTTCTTACCGAGCCAAATGCTTAAGTGTAGAAGCAACTGCAATATGTGTATTTATTCCCTTAAAATTCATGGGGAAAAATAGGATGGATTGTTTACAAGAGTACCCCATAAACTCCCATTGCATCTCCTGGAGGGGCACAACTGGACATGAAAGGGGGCAGCCACCCTCCCATGGGATTTGGGTGCTGTTTAGAGGTGAGGGCTGAGCACTGACTGCAGATTCCCATCTCACCAGGGTATTCTTCCCTTGTTTTTCCCCCTGAGGCTCCCACCTTGAGCCCTTCCTGCCCAGCTGTAGAAAGGGAGAGGAGGGTGCTGGGACCAGGAGGGAGGGCTGGATTTATTTTGGAGGCATGTTTGCCCAGTGGGAAACCCCAGGGATGCTGTGGCTGCAGGAGTAGGAACATCACAGCCTCTTGTTGGACCCCAATTCCAGGACTAGGGTTGATCCAGCAACTTTTGTGTGCTCCTTGGTGCATCCAAAAGATGAGTGTACAGTTACTTTGCAAATCCAACAGCTCGGAGATGTCCCAAAAAGCCACTTCACCCCTCACTGAGTGGGATTTGAGGCTGAGACTCCTCAAACTCGTTTTGTGCAAGGAAGTGGGAAAAAGATTGGAAGAGATGGGAGCTCAGAGGTGGAGGAGGAGCCCTGGGGACATGTGCCAACCCAGAGGTCACAGCTTGAAATGTCTCCTGGACCTTGTTCTTACCTATCTCTTGCCCCTGGGGTAGCTCTGGATGCTCCTCCCTGCTCAAAAAAGTGTCCTGGGAAGAGATGCCCCAAGAAAGGATCTTCCCTGATACCAAAAAGTGGTCAAAACTTTCAGCCCTGGTGATGTATCCTAAAATGAGTGTCTGGGATGGGCTCTGGAAGGAGAAATCGGGCTGTTTGTCCCCAGCAGTGTCCTCTGGTGAGCTCGGGGGTGAGGAAATGCATCGGGAAAGGCAGACTGGGATATTTTTCCCCCTCTCCAGCTCCCTTGTTTCTGTTACCAAAAAAAAAAAATTCATGTATTTTTAGAAACTTATTCAGCATCTCTAAAAGGTGACCAGCCCAGGCTGTGCTGTTGCTCCTGGAATAATGCTGCCGTGTGGGAATTACCTCTGGCTTCTGGGATCAGCATCTGTCCTGAGATGAAACGAGTCACAAGGGCTTAAAATAGCTTTGAGAGGGTTATGTCATCCCACTAGGAAACAACAGAGAAGGAAGGGGAGGGGGTTGAAGAAGTCCCAAACTCCATGACCTCCATAATTTAGTGCCTCCAACCCTGACTCCCCCAGTGGAGATTCCCTGAGCCTGTATCCCTGTCTCTCTGCACATCCCTTTTATTTATCCTGAGCTGATGCTTTCCCTGTTCTGGAAACATGTAGCAGGACAGCAAGAAATGAGTGCGCTGGGGGAAGAAGGGGAGGAATTGACAAAACAGGCCTATAAAATATCTACTAATATCCCCAATATTTCCTAATATTTCCCAGTTTCTGCTGCTGGGTGCATAGAAGTATAAATTTTTACAGGTTTTTCCCTGTCCAGAGACACTCAGTCTGTCTCTTCTCTTTATTTAGTGCTTTCTGATGGGTGTTCAGAGCTGGATGGATTTTTCCAGCCTGGGACAGATGCTGAACCGGCTGTCCTGCTCTCCTGGGATTTCAGAGGGCACATTTCCTCACTGCTAAAGAAGTTTAGAGTAACTTTAAGTGATTTTTAAGCGGTATTAAAGTAGATTTTAAGTGGTAGAAGACACTTCCTGCTGGCAGCTGGAGCTTAGGCAGGGGGGGAGCGGCTGGAGCATGGTATGAACTGGGATCCGAGCTATGATGTGGCATCTTAAGGGATGCAAGGACAACCAGGCCAACAATCCATCTTGCTGTCCTAATTCTGAGCTTGCACAAGTGCCAAGTGCAGGTCCTGGCAGCTCTGTTGGGTTTGTGGTCCCTGGGCATGGATGGAGTTGGAGGGGCAGCAGTGGGAGCAGGACCAGGCTGCCCTGGGCTGTGGCAAGCAATGACTGTCCCCTCTGCTCTGCTGCTCTATTTTTGACAAGATTTGTGCTTTTTGTTGCGTTTGTGAGCTCTTCAGTCCTCAGAAGGAGCACTGCACCTCCTTTATTTAACTTCATTTGCTCCTTGCCTGTGCTACATCCAAGGGCCAGCCCTGCTGAGCCATGAAAGCTTCCAGAGCTGGAACTGGGTCCCCAGGAGACACCACAAGGTGCAACATCACCCCATTCCCATCTTCTTATGTTGTCAGCACAAGGCTAAGGCAGAGCAAATAAAACCTTTGGTCCTCAACTGTGTTTTCCAGTTGCTGGGCTGTGACTTGTGTCTGTGGCAGCAGCTTTAGGCGAAGGAGAGGTTGTGAACATGTCTTGAAATTTTTTTTTTTTTTTTTGGTAGCTTTCCTGACCCAAAAAGCTCCAGGCTTTCTCCTGCTCTTTACCCTGAAGTGTGTATCCTCCACCTGCTTATTACAAGGATAAAAGGAGAACCCCCCACCATGTTTTGGGGGGCAGAGGCTCGTTCCCTAAATGCCTGAGGGCTCAGCATCGTGGGGTGTTTGGCTGCTCTGTTTCCTCCTCATTTGCAGGTGGAATATAAATCAATATTTTCAGGAAGGGGAAAGCTGAGCCGTGGTTGAAGGGGGGGTGTTTGGAGTTGTCCGAGCAGATCAGAGCATCGTGTTCTCCTTTTCCCTTTGAACAGATCTGTCTCATCGTGCTGCTGCAGCATTAAATAAAAAAATAGAGCCCAACCAAACGCCTTTTCAAAGGAAACAATCACCTCGTGTGGTTCCCACCTCGGGAAGGAGCTTGTTCCCTTTCTTTCCCAAGTAAATGCCAGTGAAAACAGCCTGTTCCCCCCCAGAACAGTGTTTCCCAGCAGGAATATGTACAGACAGGAGGATTTTTTAGCTGGCTTTTTATCAGGGTGAGTTAAATTCTCTGGAAAATGTCACCTTATGTGACTTTGCAAGGTCTGGCCAGGCTGAGCCAGGGAGCAAAGCCAAGCCCTTGGATGTGCCTGCTGGGTAATGTCACCTGGGTGGATGACCTTGGCTCCGGTGCCGGCAGGTCCCTGTGTGGGACACGCTGCTGGCCTGGCTCAGGCAAAGACTGGGACACCAGCAGGCTAAAAAAGCAAGTTTGGATGGAAAAATACCTTTGGTTTCCTTCTGGGTTTGAACTGGAGGGGGAAGGATGCTGATGTGTGTGGGCAGCGTCCTTTGATCAAATCGGGATGTCTTGGGGACAGCTGAACACGCTTTGGAGGGTGGTTCTGTGCTCTTTTCCCCTCAGCAAAGCTGAAACCTGCTTGCTGACAGGTGAAAACGTAAGATCAGCACCTTCTTTCCCCTGGGGAAATAGTGTTTCATCCCATGCTGGGAGGAGCTGAGGCTCTGGAGACCCTCCTGTGCATTAAAGGCTGGGGGCTGGATCAACACCTTCCTCCTGGAGACTTGGGCTGCAGCTCAGCTCAGGCTCAGCCAGGATGGGGGGGTTTGGTCAGTGAGGGTGTGTGGGCAGCAGCAGAGGCTTCAAGTGCTGCTTTGTGGCCCTTTGAAGCAGCATCTGATGGTTCATGGGGAGACCAAGCTGGGTTTTGGTGCCCAAATCGTCTCAAGAACCATCTTCTGTTCTGTGCTGTCCCTCCCCATCTCAGCAACTGTGGCTGCTTTCCACAGCCCCACGAGCCAGCTAAGACCTTGTGGGGTCTCTTCTGTGGATTGAGGCAGTCAAGGAGGTTAAACCAGGGGTTTTTGATCATGTAGTTCTTGGATTATCTGATTGCCAAGTGGTCCAACAGCAAAGCTTCTCATTGAGTCATAAGAGTTTTTGAAGGGGCTCAGGGTTGCTCCAAGCTTGGACTGGAGTTTGATGCTGAGTGATGAGAACTGGGACAGGCTGAGGCTGGATGTAGAAATCAGGGAAGATTATTTAGGACATGATTCTCTGCCAGTTTGGGAGTGAGGGGACAGCACCTGGGTGCTGGGGAGAATCTCCCTGTGGTTTCCTTGGTCCTCTGGCTGCTGCTGCTGGCTCAGGTGGGTATTTGGCCAGACCCCAAACAACCATCATGTAGGTCCTGAGTCCCCTGGAGAATGTGAGGGCTGGGAAGAAGCAGGACATGGTGTGCTCTGGCTGCTGATGGTGAGATCCTGAGGACGGGGCAAAGGGATGAGAAACTGCTGCATTTTTGAGGCTCCAAATGAGGTCTCATTCCTTCCCTCTGCCCGAGCCCTCCTTTAATGGGAACATGCAGTGAAACAAGAGTTGTTAAAACTCTCCTTGGCCAGGGCTTTTGATCAGGGAAGTATTAATTACGTTCAGAAGCGGAGGAGAAGGACTAATGAAGGGGAGATCAAAGGGAAGGGGGAGCAGGCAGAGTTTGGAACTGGAGCTCACCGTGGGGGCTGCTCTGCAGGGACCTGCCCCAGCAGCTGCCGAGAAGGTCCTTGTGCTGTCTGGACTGTCGGAGGTGGTGGGGCATCCACCAGGGGCTGATCTCCACCAGGCAGCCCTCCCTGGAGTGACCTTGGCTGCCAGCCATGCAAATCATGGGATCAGAGGAGTGGTGATTAATGATTTAGCTGGGGAAGGGCACGAGGCTTTGCAGCTCGTGGCCCAAAAGCACAACATTGGCGCCGGGGAAGTTGTGCAGCCCATGGGCACCGGGCAGTGCCCTGGGGAGGGAGAGGACCAGGGGACCGGGGAGGGGTTAAGGGAAAAGACAATATTGGCACAACAATAAATAGGAAAAACCCAATAGAGATGTATTTATGTTGGAAAGAGGGGAAAAACTGTACAGGGGGTGGATGGACTGGCAAACACGAAGTCACCACGATGGAGAGATGCTCTCGGGGGTGATTCCTTGTTGCTGGGAGCGGGTGCTGCCTGATAATTCGTTTACTACTTGATGGAATAAAAATGCAAATATTTGCCTGGATGAATTGCATGTGGCCATGGGGGCTGGTTGAATAATGAAGTGCTTGCACGCAGATGTTTTATCCATTAGCTGGCAGGAGGTATGAGTGGTGTAACCCATTGAGGAAGATGGTGTGACCAGCAATGGGAGCTCCTGGAGCCATGTGGGAAAATACTGACGGAATCATAGGGTCAGGGAATGGCCTGAGCTGGAAGGGACCTTAAAGATCATCTTGTTCCACCCCCCTGCCATGGGACACCTTCCTCTAGACTAGGTTGCTCCAAGCCCCATCCAACCTGACCTTCAACACTTGCAGGGATGGGGCAGCCACAACTTCTCTGGGCAACCTGTGCCAGGGCCTCCTCACCCTCATAGGGAAGGATTTCTTCCCTAGGTTCCATCTAACCTCTGCTGCCCTGGAAGCCATTCCCCCTTGGTCTGTCCCCCCAGCCCATTGTCAATAATCTCTCTCCATCCTGTCAGCTCCCTTCAGGTACTGGAAGGCCACAATTAGGTCACCCCAAAGCCTTCTCTTCTCCAGGCTGAACAATCCCAATTCTCTCAGCCTTTCCTCACAGCAGAGGTGCTCCATTCCTCTGATCATCTTGGTGGCTTCTTCTGAACTCTCTCCAGCAGCTCCACATCCTTGTGCTGTTGTTCCCCAGAGCTGGAGGCAGCTCTGCAAGGGGTCTCACCTGAGGGGGCAGAGGGGCAGAACCCCCCCCTCCCCTGCTGTGGGATCAGCCCAGCACATGGGGGGTTCTGAGCTGGACCCCTTCCAGCCTCTCTTCTACCAGCACCCCCAAGTCCTTCTCCCCAGGGCTGCTCTCAGTCCATCCCTTTCCCAGCCTGGATTGATCCCGGGGGTTGCCCCAGCCCAGAGGCAGCAGCAGCACTTGCCTGGGTCATCTCCAGGTGTTGGACTTCACCTCCTGTAGATGTCCACCGCCCCTTCCTCAGCCCTGGCTCTGCCATCCCAGGCATCTCATGCCTGAAAGAACCCTTTCCACCCTCCTTGCCCCTTCCTCACCCTTGGTTTTCCCCTTCCATCCCTCCTGACCCCCCCATTGCAGACCACGGTCCCTCTTTGCCTTTAACGGGAACGAAGCTCCTCCTCGCTGTGCCTTCAGCAGTTTGTTGTCTCGGGCAGGCAGGATTCCCCCAGGAGCTGGATATTTTTAGTGCCCAATATTGTTTTAATCATAGTGAAGAGTGCTGCCTGGCAAATATTATTTTGGGAAGTGCAAAATTAACGATCCTGCTGTCAAGGAAGAATCGGATGGCAGCTAATGAGTTTGGAAGCACGAACTGGGTGGAGGATCTACCACGGGATTAAAGCAACTTTGAATTTTTCCCTCTTCCATGAAAACTTCGTCCACCTTTTGTGCCCTGGGCCCTTTTTCAGAGGCAGATAACCCCGATCCTTTTTGAGGAATGTGGTTGGTACATGCCTGGGCTCCCTGGTGACTTCCTTCACCAGCTGTTCCCCCATGTGTCCTGTGGGAGTTATCTGGGGTCTCCTACTTGGCTTAACCCTGGGGCAAAAGGCTGACCTGACCCTGCATCCCATGGGGATGAGCAGGGGATGGATTTGCCCTCAGGGGGGTCTTTGGCTATTGATGAGCTCTGCTCTGACAAGCCCTGGCTGAGTTGGTCTCCTCCACCTTTTGAGTCTCAGGAGACTTTTCCAAAACGTTGGGCTGCTTTGTGTGCTGCATCCTGAGAGTCTATCCATGTTCTGTTTTTCAGGCTGGTTTTGGATTCAAGGGTGAGGGTCTCAGCTGCCTTTGGCCTCTCACAGCCATGGCTCCTGCGTGTGGAGCAGGGGACAGTACGTGGACACGCAAAAAAGGCAAAGATAAGGTTTTCAGTGGTGGTTTTGGGGCTTCTGTATCTTTTCCCTGATTATGAGTGGGTGGATGGTTGTGACTGGCTCTCAGCCAGCTCCAGACCTGCTTTTCTTCCAGGAATTTCTCTTTCTTTTCTACCCTGTTACTGATTTTTCTTGACAATTTGTAATTGATGTGTCCCCCTGTACCTTCTCATCTCAGCTTCCTCTCTGGAACATCTTGTTTCAAGCAGGATTTACATCTTGTTGTGAAAAATGGGTGCTGAATGTTACCAGCTGAATGTTACACTCTGCTCTTGGAGATTGCTCCTCTAATAATTTGCATGAATAATTCTGTTTCTATTGCTCTCATACACAGGATTTGTTGGGACATCCCTGCTCTGGGGTTCAACACCGAGGCCCTGGCAGCAGGTTTCTCCTTTCAGACTTGGTGAATCTGAGCTTGGTTTGCACTGATTGCAGGTGCTCCACCTGTGACTCCAGATCCTTAGGGATGACCTGCATCAAATGGTCACCTTCAGAGTTAGAGGAGCTACAGAGGGAACTGTGGTCACTGTGCCCTGGGAATGCTGCCCCAGGGCTCATCCCAGAGTCTTTTGGTTGAGGAAGAGGACCTGCACCCTGTGATTTGGGCTTTTTTAGCATTGATTCCTCAGCTTTGGCTCACAGAGTCAATGAGGTTGTAAAAGACCTTGGAGATTGAGTCCAACCCATGACCCAACACCACCGTGCCAACCAGCCCATGGCACCCAGTGCCACGTCCAGTCTTCCTTGAATGCTGTCAGGGGCAGTGATGCCACCCCCTCCTTGGGCAGCCCATTCCAATGTCTGATCACCCTTTCTGTGAAGAAATTCTTCCTGATGTCCAACCTAAACATCCCCTGCACAGCTTGAGGCAACATCCTCTTGTCCTGATGGGCTCCTTCCCACCCAGAGAGTTTTGCATCTTCCCGTCTCAGCAATGGTGCTGGGAAAGTGTCATACTGGCCAAGGGCCTGGGGGAGCCTCACCCTGCCCTTGGAGACAAGGATGCTGTGGAATCCCATCCCAAAGGGATTTTTTTATTATTTTCCTGTGCTCCATAGCCAGGGCTGGGGGGAAGTGTTTTTGCACTTTGAATATTGTGGCAGATTTGGGCACTGTGACATAGGAAAGACATGAAGTCACTAGAGATTGTCCAAAGGAAGGCAACAAGGATGGGGAAGGACCTTGATTTGAAGCCGTGTGAGGACACTGAGGGCACTTGCTGTGTTCAGCTGGAGGAGACTGAGGGGAGACCTCACTGCAGTTACAACTTCCTTGTGAGAGGATGAGCAGGGGCAGGCACTGAGCTCTGCTCTGTGGGAACCAGGGAATGGCCTGAAGTTGTGTCAGGGGAGGTTTAGGCTGGATCTCAGGAAAAGGTTCTTCCCCCAGAGGGTGGTTGGGCACCGAACAGGCTCCCCAGGGCAGTGGGCACAGCACCAAGGCTGCCAGAGCTCAAGGAGTGTTTGGATGATCATCTGGGGCACCTGGTGTGACTCTTGGGGATGGTCCTGTGCAGGGCTGAGGGTTGGACTGGATGATCCTTTTGAGTCCCTTCCAGGTCAGCGTATTCTGTGATTCTGTGATAATTTGTACATTAGCTCCAGAGCCCACTTGTGCTGAAGCAAAGCTTTTGCTGGGGAAATGAAGGGGTTTGACAGCCCTGAGGAGGGAGTCAGGGCCATCTCCCTGCAGCCCAGAGCTGTCTGCAAGTGAACAATTCCTCTGTGAACTTATCCTGGTGCCTATTCTGGTCTCCACCCACTGCAAATCACCCTTCACCCCGGGCCACCAGCTCCTGGATATCTTCATGCTGTTAACGTGATGCTCTGGGCTCCTTGGCACCTCTCCTGGCATTGCTGAGATGTTTTGGATGCTGGTGCTCGTTTCTCGATAGATGCAGTGTCAAATTTCTGAATTTCATATAGTTTTAGAGCACCCAGGCAATCTCTTTGCTTTTTAGAAGCATTTCTGGGCCACAGGCAGGTGTTTTCCGTGCAGATCCTCAACCCTTCTTCATCTGCCACCCTCCCCAGAGGCATGGAGGAGGCCAGCTTGCTCCAACAGATTGGAGGAGAACATTATTTATTTGTAAAGGTCCCTGGCTGCAGCAAGGAAGAGCAGGGAGTGACACTGGGGACTGGCACAGCATGGAGCCAGCTGGCATGGGATGCCCTGGAGCAAGAGCTGCTGGTGACAAACGACATGGTTTTGCAGAGTTTGGCTCCTTCTGAAGGAAAAAGCAGGACTTTGTGGTGGTCCCTGTGGTCCCTTTGAGCTGGGAAGCTAGGTTGGGTGTGTGGTGAGGCCTGGCTGCTCTTGGAGCCCACGGTGGGGTCAGAGAATTGGGATCTGCTCTTGGCTTGACCATTAGTCCCTGTGATGTGTCCTTGTGTCCTTAGGTTAACCTGCCTCCTGGGAGGATGGGAGGAGGATTTGGGAAGGAGAGCTCCCACAGCATTGCATGGATTTGAGGGGTGGGGGCCTCCTAAGCTGTGCTCTGCAGTCCCCTCTCAGCACAGGTCACCTGCTGTACCCAGCTCCAAGCACCGGGTGCCTTCAATGAACTTTAAGCAACCAACCCAACACCCTCCACCTTGTCTGACAAGCTCTGTGAAGCATCACTTGCCAGATTTATTCTGCTCCTGAGAGCACTGGTGTCTCCAGAGACCAGTGGGATTCAGTCCAAAGGACCCTACGGATACTGTGACCGATGGAGGGAGGATCCACCTGGAGTGAGACAAGTGGAATTTGTAGTGTGGTTGTGAGTGAAGGATTGTCTGGAGTCCTCATGCCGAGGACACCTCCTGCAGGTGGTTGAGCATCTCTTTAGGTCTGGACCTTGCCCTCTCCTGTGCTTTTAAACTTTAAGCTAGAGAGAAGAAAGGATTGGATTTATGGAGCTGTCCCTACTAAGTGACCCTAAAATTCCTGGTTTATGAACCACCTCTTTACAGGCAGCCCAGCTCTTCTCCAAGCCGAATCAAAGCTGGATGCCTTAGTGTTTACTGGCATGATTTAGGGTGCTGCAGCTTCCTATCAAAACACGTGGCTGTTGGCACAGGGAACCTATTCAATCCTTCACTCTTGGAGAGTCTCTCCTGTGCCACCTTCCACGTTTTCCTCCGAGGTTGGTGAATCCAGGAGCTCTGAGCGCGCGGGTTTGGGTGTCTGGGGTCACAGAACGAGCTGCTCCACGCTCCTGCATTTCCGTGGAGGGGTGGAACTCACCTCTTGCCCTCTGGTAATGACATTTCACAAGGTGATATTACGTCCAGGTGGTTAAACAGAGGGTATTTGAGTTGCAAAATGAAGGTGGGTCACAGCAACACCTGCTGCCCGTCCTGTGGGGGAAGAGTTTTGCTTTGCTGGGAGGCCACAGAAACAAACCCACCATCGGAGATACCACCCTGCTCCCCCACCGGCAGCCAGACATCATCTCCGGGCATCAGAGGGGAAGGTTTGCAACCAAAGCCGTGGCTCAGGTCCTGGATCTGGAGACGAGACTCATTTTCCTGGAGATGGCACGGGGTTGGGGTGGATGCTCTGCGCTGGGCAGATGGAAGGCAGAGCTGCTGGGGATGTGCTGTTGGTCCCCAGGGAATGACGCCGCAGGTGGCAATGGGCCAGTTGGTTGTGTAGGTGCCCACTGGCTCTGCAGACATTTCTAGCTCATCCAAAATCCACTACTTGAACAAAAACCGCAGTTGCAGAAGCACCCTTTGCTGCTGGCCTCTCCGTTTCCAGGGGCAAACCGGGGCAAATGGCTCTTCTCCAATTTCCAGTCGGACCAAAGCACTCCGAGTCCAGCAAATTGTGCACAAAACAACTTCTCCGGGAAGAAAAACACTTATTTTCCCACCCGAAATACATATCTCTGGCTAATGCTAATTGCATATCTGTGAATAATGCTAATTGCACGCAACCTCTGGGAAGACATATGTGGATAATAATACCTCGGTCTTCAAACATCCTCTTCAGAAACCTCATGAATATGACTCAAATGCCTCAATTTTGTCCCTTTAAACACTCCCCGCTCTATCATGAGGCCAACGAGCGCAGCAGGGGGCGGAGGAGCCTCTTTCCAGCGGGCGATGTAGGTCATGCTCCAGTTTTTCTTTCTCCAACAAGCAGCTGTGGGACCTTCCTCCTCCCAAACCTCTTCATGCCCAGATCCAGGAGTGCAGCGCCATGGCTGATGGCACTAAGCCGTGGTCTCACCAGTGGAGAAGGGCTGGAGCTCACTGAGAACCTTCTTCAGCCCGTGGATGTAGATATTTGTGCTGCCAGATGTTGGGCTTGGAAGACTTGGCCACGAACTCTGGAGTTTTGGGTCAATATGGGAAGAGGGGTTGGGGGATAAGTATCCCTTTTGAGGGCTGCTTCTATGCTGAGGGGTGGGACCATGAGCGTGTGGCCATCTGGGTGGCCTCTGTTTGTCCCACGTGTGTCTCTCCAAATCAAGAGATTTGCTTTTCTAGATGTTCTCCAGGACCTTCCAGAAACGAAGCTCCCCGTTTTGGTGCTCCCCACCCACGTCTCTCCGAGCCCCCCAGCTCCCAGGGATGCTCGGGGAGGTCCCTCCTCACCCCCGTGGTCCCTTCCTGGCCGTGTGACCCCTCCATGGCGATCCCGGGGGGACGTATGGCTCGTTCCTGGGAATCTGGCTGTCTCCAAGGCTGGTAAATATAGCTCCAGCGAGAGCATGTCTGCATGCGTGTGACAGTCTGTGCAGCCAAGCTCTATTTTTAGGAGTGCTGGCAGAGGACACACACACGGATCTAATCACAGCTTCTCCCAGGCAAATGTTCCCTTTCTCTGGCTTTCAAGCCATGCTTATCAATTTCCTCCGCATTGTTTCCTTCCCTTCTTCTGTGACATGACAACCTGCTCGGGGGAGGAGGGAGAAAACAAGCTGTGATGGGAAAGAAAATTGGGAGTGGGAGATATCTGGGTGGGAGCAGCGTCTGCCACCCTCCCTCTCTCCCTCCCCAAATTCAGGAATGCTCTACCAGCCAACAGTCCCATCCTCATGGGTGGGCTTGGGGGATGCTCCAGGGGCTGAGTGTCCCCTGGGACAGCTGGGTGGAAAGGCAGGGAGTGCTGGAATGTCCCCAAGCCACCCAGGTTTGCTCTGTAGGGTGACGGAGGAAGAGCACGGAGCAGGGAGGAAGGCTGAGTGACAAAATCCACATCCTTCAGGCTGGGCATCAGTGCCGTTGGCTGGAAGGGGCTGTTAATTTTTTAAGGCTTGTAGGAGGTCCAGCTTTTCCTTGGTGTACTTTCCTCTTGGCACAGCCCTCCAGGGAGGGATGATGTCGGTGACAGGTTGGTACCATGTCAATGGAGGTCGCGGTGCACGTCCCACTGTGCTCTGGGCTGGACACCCCCAAAAATCTCCCAGTGCTGCTCACAGCTCCCATGGGAGGAATATTCTGATTTATTTAACTCACCCTGAGGGCCACACGTGCTGGAATTTCCCAGGGTGACCAGCCTCCAGCAGCTCCAAGTCTGGAGGGTGTCACACCCGTGGCTGCTCCAAGGCATAAATATTTCCATAAGCGATGCATCTCAGCCAAGAAAAGTGTATTTTTCCTCTGGCTGATTTGCGGGCAGAGGCAAGAGGAGCTTCCCAGGGTCTCTCCCTGATTCATTAAGTGGTCAGAAGCAATTAATTTAACCCCTTGCTTTCTCTGTTTGGAAAGACAAGGGACTATTAATTGCCATTGGAGGTGGCAAAGATGGATGAAGGCAGTTAACTCTCGCCCCAAGCTTTCAGGGCAGTTTCTGTTTGCTTCAGATAATGAAACTAAACCAGTTTGATCTCCCAAATTCAGCAGAAATCCTGGTGTTTTTAGCTAAAATGCTCCTTGCCTGGCATTAACGGAGTAAGAAAAATTCATCGTGGTTTAAACAGGACCGCGGCGCGGAGCCTGATTTTAGGGAAAATATTCTTTTCTCAGGACCAGCTACAAAAGAGACTTTTTCTAGTTCAGTGGCGTAAAGATATAAAGAATATTCTGAAGCAGAATTACCATTTTTTAAAATTCTTGGTGAACAAGACCGTGGAAATTGTCCTGGTGGTGATGTCAGTGATGTTTGCTTTGACGCGATTTCGATTTTGATGTTCCAATGAAAAGTTTGAAGCTGTTTTGTCAGGCAGAAATTTAATTTTTTAAAAAAATAATTCCTAATTTTTTTTTAAAAAAATCCTAATTAAGAAAATCACCCTAATTAAAAAAAAAAATTAAAATGCTTAAATAAGATAATTTTTTCCCTTGAAATTTAGCAGAAAAGGGCAAGCTGGGTGTTTACCGGGAAAAAGCATGGTGGGCGTCGCCAGCCTGGAAAAGCCATTTTTAATTCCAGACTTGGGCCAAAAAAGGGCATCATGTAGGACACATTAGGAAGAGAGTGGTGGTGGCACCTGAAGGCCCTGTCCCTCCCTGCCCTTGGCTCCTCAGGGTGATGTGCCAAACCCCCAATGCCGTATATTTTCCAAATGGGCTCTCTGCTTCCCTTTCCCACTCCCCATAAACACAGCGTTTTGTCTCCCAGGGAAGATGCACTCCCGCTTTTATAAGCCCGTCTTAAGCACCACTTCTTAGATCAATGGCTTTAAATGAAAAAAAAAGAAAGCTCTTTTGAATACAAATGTGGCATTTACTTCCTTAATGCCTCTCCTGCGCTAAGCTCCCTTCAAACCCATCAGAGCCACTTTAATATATCGAACAGAACTCCCCTCATTTTGATGCTAATGCAGCATTTCATGCAGATAATGTGCTTGAATCATGCACTGAAATACATTAAAGGTGAAACCAAGAGCTCCAAGGAACCGCTGGTGGCTCAGCTTTCTCCTCCTTCTGCATTTTCACGGGCAAGCCAGGTCTTGCCAAGCTCCCTGGCAGATCCCAGGCAAAGCTTGTCCTGTGTAATTTGGTTCATGTCTTTTAATTTAATCAAAACACTCCAAATCGCCTGATTTTTTTTTCTTTTTTTTTTTTCGTTGCAGTGGGATGTTTACTCATGGGACTTCTTGCTGCAGGATGCTCTGGAGGACAAATTTGGCTTCACCAGCTCGTGGAGAAGAGGTTTCCAGGGGATTTTAAGCCTCGTGGTCTGGATTCAGCCTCCAGCATCCCTGTGCCAGGACATGCTGAAAGCCAGCAATGAGTTCTTAAAGCCAGGAAGAACATCTCCTCACTCTTATTTTGGGCTTGCAAGCTTCCACATCTCCTCTTGACCTCCTTCAGAGGTGTGGGAATTGCTGATCCCACCTGGATGTCTCATAATATTCCTCATCATGCATCAGTTGGGTGTCCCCTAGTGATGGGAGAGCAGCTGCTTCTTCCATTCGCTGTCCGGAGGCAAAACTAACAACAGCAAAGCTCAAAATTTGGGTCAATGTGAACTGTATCTTTATTAGGGGGAAAAAAAAAAAATGTCTCAAGTTTCCATTTTGGGTCAGCAGGTGTCAGAGGACCTGCCAGGAAACATCTTGTTGAAAAGAAATTAATTTATTTGTGGAAACCTCATTTTGTTTTGAAGAAATCAAAGGCAGGCACGTCAAGGTTTGGAAAGACTTTCAACTGTTCTTTTCTCTGGCTGTGTCATGGAAAAAGAAAGCCGGATTTCTGCTGGAATTCTGTGATCTGGGTCTGAAAGTGCCTGTGAGACCCAGAGGAGCTGCTTCCTCCCAGGTGGGACTTACTCGTGTCCAACATTTACTGCCCTCACCGTGGTCTAGTAGCTGAATAATCCCCCTCAGAGCTGTTCCCAGCTGCAGAGGGGAGCAAGTGGAGCCTCTTAACTCTGCTTTTGCAGATTAGGTTCATTTCTCTTAATTAGTGGCGCTCACTAATGAGCAGCCTCCCCTTCAGCGAAGACAAAGGAGGGGCAAAGGATGTATTAGAAGCCCTGTGGGGCAGCTTGGTATCTTCTCCTTGCATGTGAGAAGAAAATGTTGATGCAGATGGAAAATTGTTTCCTATTTTCAGCCTCTGGAGGTGAAGTAACCCCTTTCCCAATCCCCCATGGATACCACTGTCACTTTTGTCGTTCCTCAGGTGATGACCCCCCTGCAGATGATGCCTGGACGACGACCACACTTGGGGCTCCACCTCTTTGACTGTCCTAAGGCGAGGCCCAGCTTGCAGGGAACATGGGCTGGATGTGACAACCCTGATGGGATAAAGGTGGGACCCCTCTGCGTGTGGGTAACCCCGTAAACTTCACAGTCTGGAAGGAACATGGATCTTCAGGAGACCCAGGAGCAGGTCCTGGTGACGATGTGACTGCTGGGAATGTATATCCTGGGGCAGGAGGCAGAGAGAGGAAACGAAACCTTTCTTCTGCTCATCTGCTTTGCTTCCTGGAAATCTTCTTTTCCAAGCAGCTCTGCCCTTGCTGCAGCCCTGTCTTGGAGGCTTTCCAGCCGCTTCAAGAAGAAGCCTGGTCCAAGGTTAACAAGACTGAGTTGGAGCTGTGTGACTCTGCTTTCCTTGCTGCCCGAAAATGGGTCAGTCTGGGTGACATGACCCTTGCCAGAGCATCCCACAGCCCTTTCCTTGCTGGCAGTACCACCCCCATCCCTCTGCCAGCCCAAAGTCCACCCAGGAAGGGTCCTGAGGCTGGGGCCAGAGCTTTCCTTGAGTTGAAAGCTCTTGTTAAACACCCACAGGCATCTGTCCTGATCTGAACCGTCCTCTGCTCGACAAACCCGTCTCTCCCATTATGATAACTCCCACTGACATTTCACCAGGACATTTCTTCCCAAAGGGATTCCCATAGCAATTCTCCTGCTGCTGGAACGTGGCCACCAGTGAGGCGGGTGCCCGTCCCTCATCCTCCCGTGCTGGCACTTGGGGCAGGGGATGCTGCTCAACACATCCTGGGGCAAGGCAGGAGAGCACCGAGAATGGCTCAGAGAGCTGGGAAAGGAGATGTTTTGGAAGAAAGACCATGGGAAAATGTGTGAAAGTACAGGGATGCTCTCCATGCTGAGCTACCAGGCAGACCCTGGGGTGAAATGTGAGTGGAGCATGTCAGGAGGTCACCTCAGACCATGCCATGAAATTTTCTTGCCAGCATTAGAGTTCCAGTGCTGGGAAAGGTGTGGTAAAGCCCCTCAGGTCTCAGCTGGAATGGGAATGGCAGAGGCAGAGCTTGAAAAGGGAGGGGGGTCACTCCTCTGGCTGCCCCTCAACTCCAGCAGGAAGTTCGGGGAATTAAAGGGTACAAGCAGGGAGCTCTCCCAGGCTGATGCCTTTCCTGTACCCTGTCCCTGCTCACGTGTCTTCTCCTTGCAGGTGGCACCTCAGCTCATGGCTGAGTATCCCTGGTCCATCGTGTCCTCCTGCCGCTGACGCAGACGGGTCCAAGCCGAGGGCGCAGAGGGAGCCCGGGATGGATGGAGCGATCCGACCTCCTTTCCCAGGCTCACCTCAGGTTTTACCGAAGAGCTCTGTCACCGCAGGAGGTGGAGGGGGGGGCAAAGCACCGAACAAATGCTTTGTGACAGCCGGGAAATGCCGTGGCCTTTGCGATGGAGCGGAGCTGACGGGCGGCACCGCTCCCTGTGCGAGCTGAGCCTCCCCTTCCAGCGCTGCTCCGCAGTGACCGCGCCTGTGGAACGGTGCTGGGCGGTGGAGTCAGTAGAGGCTGACTGGACCCCTTGGAGATGGGCTCGGACCCCCCGGAGTCCCCTTAGAGGAGGCTTTTTGTGTGCAGAGTGCAAGCTGCATCCATAGTTATTGCCCTGTTTTCAAACTTTGTTGCTGTTTTTATCCCCTCTCCCTGGTGCTGGATGTGGGTCCTGAGCCTTCCACTGCAGCCAGTGCTGCTGGTGCTGGGTTCACCCCCACATCCTTGTGGATCTGCAGCGGTTCTTGCTGGAATGCATACGGCTTGCATCAAGATGAAGGAAATCTCAGGGATTTTTGGAGCATCAGCAAGACAAGGGGCAGCTGGAGAGCATTCCCGGCCATCCACTGTCCCGATTTGGTGCAGCCTTTAAGGGTTCTCCACTCCATGGACCATTGTGCTCAAACGGGATGGGCATTGAGACAGCCACTTTGAGGCTGGGAGATCTTCCCCTGGCAAATCAGGGAATTTTGGGAATTTCTAACCAAGCATCCCCCTTCCCTGGGATGAGCTGAGCCGTTCTGCCCCGACCCCGCTGGGGTTGCGCTTGCCAGGGCTTGTGTTTCCCCCCTCAGCACCTCCAGCCAAGCTCATTTCCCCAGTTAAACGTTATTAGTCCTTGAATGAAAGGAGGAGGGAGGCAGAGAGGAAGGATTTTTATTGGGAAGTCGTTTGTTCCTTAATTGAATTGCTCCCGTTAACAGCGGTGAGAGAAGGGGAACAAAAAGCCAAATAGGAGGTAAAGGCGCTTATTTGCTTCTGCTTGAGAGGAGCTAATATTAATAAACTTCTGGATGAAGGGATTTGTAAGGGTTTGATAGAGGGATTAACTCCAAAATGATGATTAGATTTTCTGGAGTAAACTCCCTGATAAACAAGGGAGACAAGATGCAGATGTTATCCCTGCACAGAGTGGGGTCCCTCCCAGCTGCCAGATCTGGAGTGTGAAGGAGTCACTCCCTGCTCTGGGACAGGGTACTTCCTCCAGGTTTATCCCAAAACCAAGCAGAGGTGATGTCCTGGGCCTTTCCTAAAATGCCTTGGTCATCACTCACCACAAGGACACTGCAAACCTCAGCTTGGGTGGAGGTGGCACCACTTGGAAGAACAATATGCTCTAAGGAGCAGGATCTGGGGGCCACTGGGTGTCCATCCTAGTGGTGGCCCCACCAGCCAGGTCCCATCCCAGGGATGGATGTTTGGAAAAACTGTGGTCTCCATGCAGCTTTTTCTGGGAGTACAGTTGGTGGGGGTTGATGTCTTAGGGGTGTGGGAAGAGTTGGGTCAAACTTTCATCCTTGGAGGAACTTCTGAGCTCTTTTCTGTCACCTTTTTGGCTTTCTTTTAATGAAATATTTTATTTCAGGCATCTTGACAGGTTGCTCATTTAAAAAAAACAACAGTTTGACTTTTGCCCTTTTAATTATTCTTATTTTTTCTTAATTTAAAAATTCATGTAAGTAGAGGATACAAACTCCTGAAACAGCACTGGGGCAAAGACACACACATTGTCCCGAGGCAAAGAAAATCCCTCTGCTTGTCTTCAACCCATTTTTTTTTTCCACTTTGATTTTGCTGAAGCTTTTTTTCAACCCAAATATATTTGTTTCCTCAAGTTTTTGGTTTGTTCCCTGGATAAACTCTCCGTGCTGTTGCCTACTCCATGTAGAGGTAGACCACCCAACCCAGAGATGTCCCAACCTGCTGCTGCACTTCCCAGCCCTGGAGATGCAGATCCCACTGGAGCTGAATGGCTCCATCCCAGCATCAACAGGCAATCTGAGCTGTTTGGATTTCATTCCACACACTTGTTTCCTTGGATTGGAATGTTTAAGGGACAGGGGGAAGAATAATCATTCAGAGGGCTGACATCACACTCCAAACACCATATTTTTCTGCTGTAAATTATGATGATCCTGTAGGGAATGCCACCCAGGGTAGCAATGCTTGAATGCCTTCCCCCCTAATTCCTGCTCTTGACAGTCTGAGCTTAAACTCTGCACTCAGTTTATGCAAAATGAAACAAAAAAGTCAAAACCAGCCAAAAAAAAGTCCTTGTGGGAAGCTGGAGGTGCTCAGCCAAGGCAGGGGAGGGAGTGTAAGGGCAAAGAAGGAATTTGGTCCTTGGTCTCCTCAGGGGTTTGAGGGCATCAGGATACCCGTGAGGCTTTAGGGGTGGGATGAAGCTGAGAAACAGGATGGAGGGAGGATGGGCTTTACTGTTCCTCTTTCCCTGAATTTACTCATCATTTTAATGCTTTCAAACCACCCAGAACAAAATGTTTTGGTCGTGTTTTCTTAGGGCAGAGCAGAAACCTGATCCTTCTGGGATGGGAAGATATCCCTCTTCCCTGTCTGAATACTCATCATTCCCAGCTTTATCCAAGAGAACAAGTCTGCTTTCTCCTCCATAGCCTTTCTCCTCTCTCATCCCTCCTCTGCCATTCTCACTGCCCGGGAAGCCTGGAGGAGACTCCTGGCAGCCAGGATGGTTTATGGCTGATGAGGTCCTTCGGGGAGCCACAGCTGGGAATGTGAGGATGGCATGGTCATTTTTTGGGATGCCTCAATGTCTTCCAGCTCTGGGTGTGCAGTGACTCACTGTGACCAGCAGCTGGTGACTCAGGGGCAGCTGCTGTGGGATGCTCTGTAGGAAATGGCCTCGGTTTGCTCCAGGAAGGATGGGAAGGCTGGAGGGAAGGTAGAGCCCCTTTAAACACCTCTTGTGGCAGGCACAGCCCTCAGCCTGTGCTCACCAGCACCCCCTTCCCCATCCCTGGAGACCCCAAATGGGCAGCACAACACCCCAGTCCCTGGTGTTTGCTCCTGCCACCCTCTCCTTGTGCCAAGGTGTCCTCACCTGCCACCTGCCTTTGTCCCCAACATGAGGATGGGGGGTCTGGACCCCTCCTGGGCTCCCTCACGGATGCTGCCTTCTCCCAGGATCCCATTCTCCCTGGCTCATCAATCCATTGGGCTGGAGGAGAACCTTTTCCAAGACTCCTTTCTCCACACAGTGGTATTTAAATCCTCTCCATATGCTGAAGTGATGCTGATGGATGACAGGAGGACATCACGGGATGAAGACAAGGGTATGGCACGTGATTCTCCATCCTGTATCGGGCAGGACAGGGGGATTATTGCCATCTCGAACCTGCAGATGTGTCAGATCCTGCTCTTGCCAAGCAACCTCCAGGCTATTTTTCTTACTAGTTCATGGGGTTAGCTAATAAAGACAACTTGACTTGATGTCCTTCGACTTCTGTGTCGTGTTTGACTTAATTGTGCATCCCAGCCTGACAAAATCCAGCGCCGGGCCAGCGTGGGGCAGCCCGTGGTGAATGGATCAGAAGTGGTTTGTGGGGAGATCCTCGGTGCTGCTCTGCTGCTCTTTGCTGTGTTTCTCACTGAGCTGAAAAATGATATCAGATAAGTGCTGGACTCACCTGCAGATGCCAAAATGTGCCGGAGCAGAAAGGGGACGCAAATAACCTGGTAAATAGGGATGGCTCCGGCGGTGCTGTGCCCAGATCCATCTGCTGTGGGCATGGCAGGGCAGATGCTAAGGAAAAACAGGAAGGAATGTAATGTCTGTGTCCCAAGAAGAGCCTCAATGGCTGGAGGTTGCCTTGTTGGCCCCAGGCTGGAGGTGCTCCCAGGGGGAGAAAGGGATATGTGGAAGCAGATGGTTGGGAACAGCATTGTGTTCACAGCATCCGCATCCATCAGTGGTGTTGGTGGGGAAACTGAGGCACATAGGGACCACATGGGAGATGGTTTCTCCCCCAAAATCATGGAATACCTCTGCTTTTTATTTTTTAGGGAATGTGGATCTGAGGCTGAACCTTTCAGTGTCCCTGAACAACCAAAGCCAAGCCCTCCCTCTGATCTTCCACTTCTCTTGTTTCCTGACCTTGCTGCCCTGAATTGTTGGAAAAATGCCTCTTAATTGCTCAACGCTCGCTTCTTTGCTAATTAACCACCTTGCAAACATTTAGTAAGCGATGCTCTCTCTTCCTAATTACCAGGAATGGGTGATTCCTTCCTCCCAGAAGCAAACTGATTTTCCCCTACTGGTAAACAGATTTCCTTATTTTTTTAAATTTGATGGGCTGAGAGAGCCCGTGTTCTGTGGACAGGCAAGCCCAGCTGCAGAGGGAAGTCTGATCCTGCAAAGTGCTGTTTAGAGGTTCAGAGGCCTCCCTTGCTCCTCTCCAGTCCCTTCGGAGACCCTTGGATCCCATGCAAGGGGTCCAGCTCTCAGGCTGCCCATGGATCCTTGTGAGCGTTTTTCCCTGGTTTCATTGTGTGGCATCTCCATTTAATTTTGTTTTGGTCCTCTCTTGGGTTTTAGGTTTTATTTGGGGGGTGTAGGGGAGGCAATCATTCCCCTGGCACGGTCCCTGCTCGGCTGAGCTCCTGTGCCAGCAGCTCCCTCCGTTGGGAGCATGCACGGAGCAGAACGAGAACCTGCTGGTGCCCACCGCCTCCTCCCCAGGCCTGGCACTTCCAGGGATCCAGAGGGAAAACTCCATTTTTCCCTCCACTCTTCCTGCGCAGTGTTGGCAGGAAATACTGAATTTTAGAGTGCTTTTCCACACAGGGAAAGCAAAGGGCTGGACCAGCTCCTCGGAGCAGCATCCTTGGTGCTGAAAAAGTTGGAATTGGTGCATTTAAACACACTCAGCCACGAATCCTGTAAAAATTCCAACCCTGCAGTCCCCAGGCTCTGTCTGTTGATGTTGTCCAGGCCAAGCTTCACCCTGTGGGGCTTGCAGAGCCCCCCTCATCCCCCTTCATCTCTGAAGGTTGGTAGGAGCGGCCATAACTCCACCTGTGATCTTCAAACCCACTTTGAAGTTGGGAAAACCGGGGAAGTTTTTAATTTCTTTCTTATTTTCTTTTGTTTTTCCTGGGGTACCAAACTTTAGGACTTCAGTTTTTTTAACGAGGAAGGAGCCCTGTGCTGTTTTTAATCAGTGCTAAAGGCCAGTGGGATTGAGGAGCAAGGGCTGAGCAAATGAGCAGGGAGACAGAAAAACCACAAAAAAAAAATAAAAAAAAGGGAAGAAATCCCCTCAGCTGAGGGTTGAAGTGTCTCAGGGCACTCCCAGGTGAAACTGTCCTATCACCATGTGAGATGCCCCATTTTCCCTGGCCAAGGACACGCAGCAGAGTCTTTGCCAGTGCTAAGAGGGTGCAAAAACCCCCTCTGGAATCTGTACAATAAATATTTTTTGTATTTCGATTTTGATAGTGAAGTGTTGCTCATCAGACCCTTCTCATGGTTTTTCAGATATAACTCAAGGCTTTTTCCCTGTGAAAGCACCCAAGTATAGCCAAGGATCTGTTTAAATTACAGGCAGGACAAAACATAGGAGGCTGCTCTGATTTAATAATAACCATAATATGGATATTACTCTCCAGGCTTTGTCATGCAACAGCTTGTATTATTAAATTCTTCACACCCTGGGCTGGTTTCATTCCGTAAATTCCGTGCTGAGGTTGACAGGCATCTTGGAGATGAGCATCTTCCCCAGGGCCTGCCCAGGGTGAGGGCTTGGAGGGTCCCCCTGGGCTCAAATTTCACAATTCTGGCAGCCAGCACCCCAAAATGAGACTATTATTAACCCTGGAGACATGTGCTGGTCCCTCCCTGGGAAGTGATGGGAGCAGGGGCTGCTTGGTGGCTCTTCTGGGAGCTCTGGAGGAAGCAGAGTGCTCTGATACATCTCTGTCCCATCCTCCCTTCCACAAGGTTATTCCACTGCCAATTCTAATCCAATTTAGCAGAGAGGTTGGTTTCTCAGGGGAAACTGGGGACGCTGGCCCAGCCCCTGGTTCATGTCAGGGCTTTCAGCATCCCTCGATTTTCCTCTCTGGATGCAGCCCCAGGCTTGTCCCGCTGTCAGCACATTTAATGTCCCGAAATTGAGCTTTCTAATTGAGGTTTCCTAATTGCTGCTGCTCCTTTGGCAGCTGGGGTGGGTTTGGGGCAGGCATCTGGGGGTTGTTGCTGTGGCTTTATCAGAGGATGGGGGAATTGGGGGCAGCTGTTTTTTTAGGGAAACTGTGCTATAGGGATGCTGGAGTGTGTGTCCTTGCAGGGATCCATCCCGTGTGCTGTCATCAACCCCCTAAGACTGGGATATCACGTGGTGAGTGAGGTGTAGATGAGGGGGCAAGTTGTGTTGGGGGGGCTGTGGGGTGCTGGGCACTTCTGATGGGAGTCCCTTCCTCTGGGGGAGCCCCTGTTCTCCCCCTGGTCCCCCAGGAGTGGTTTAACCCTGTTATCTGCTTTTCTCGCTGTCTGGGGGGCTCTGAAGGCCCCTCAAAGCCCTCTAGAGCTGCTGAAAATGTGGCCGCTGGGGGGCTGCTCAGGGCTTCTGGGACACAACTCCCCTCGTGGGGATGTGGGCACTGGATCCAAAGTGTGGATCTGCAGGAAGGGGGTCTTTGTTTAAGCACGTGCCTGGTGGGCTGAGGAGGTCGAGGAGGGCTCTGCACTGATGCTGTCCCATGCCAGTTCCACAGGGATGCTCCTGGTGCTGTGACAGGAGGGATTTTGGGGTGGGCAGTGGCAGGACTGCCACTGGGGTGAGGGACCAGAAGGAGCAAGTGTTGGGGCAGAACCTGGCAGGTTCCCCATGAACGTCACAGAATGGAATTGGAAAGGACCCGCACGGATCATCGAGTCTGTGTGGGTCTCCTCCAACCTCCTGCTGCAATGAACTGGGTACCACTGATCACCCCCTCCTTGAGGC